TTATCACCACCGCTTCCTCCTGCCACATGCGTGCATACGTATTCGGTCCCTGTAATGAAGGGAAATCAATAGGAGCATGGCGGACGGATAGAAGGAGCGTGGCTCCCTGACAGCTTGCAGTGGCCAGGAGAGGACAGGTCCCTTCCAGCTGTTTCTGTGGCATCGGGGTGGCTCTGGTGGCAGACGGTCCTTCCCTGGGGTGGCACAGGTGGCCGTAGGAGGGTTAGCAGGTTGCAGAGGGTAATAACGAAACACTGCGTTCCCGCACCTCATGCTCCTGCCCGCAGTGCCGCTTGCGGTGCGGTTCACAGTGCCTTCCAGTGCTCGCCTCTGAACTGGTGGCACTGGCGTGGTGGTTCCTCTTGAGCAGCTTGTTTCTGTTTTGCACGCACAGCCAGAGGGGTTGGGGGAGGAGGTTCACAGCGCTGAGCTGGGATCCCTGCGGGGCAACAAGATGGCACGGGGCAGATGGAAACATAACTCTCACTAATTCCCTGCATAATCCAGAGCGGTATTTCTCAGCCAGAAGTAGCTCCCTAGGAGTAGGGAGTACATGTATTTGTTCTGCCTAAATAGTTCACACTTGACACTTGGCAAGCTTGGCTCAGTCCAGGTAGCATGAAGTGGGCATTTGGGGACACAGGGTAGCACCATAGGGTGCCTGTAAAGTGTATCAGTGGGAAAAAGCTATAATGAAATCCAAGAGAAGAGGCGGCTGGTGGGTTTTGCTTGTCTTGCAGTGGCCCTGAGGTGGTCCTGCTGTGCTGGGTGGTTTGTGTAAGTTGGTTTAGTCCCGAAGAGCCTACAGGGTAAGGTTACCATGGTGCTAAGTGATTTTCACAGCTTTGTTTTACTAGGTCGAGCTAGGGACCCTCCCTGGCTCCCTCTTCTCCTGTATCACTTAACATAGAAACAGCATTTCAGGCAGGTTTGGTGCCTTGCCTGAGAGTAGATGAAGTGTTAGTAGCTCTCTGGTTTGTGTCCAGCACATAAAAGCTTTGACAGCCTACCCCATTGGGGTTTTGGATGCCTAAGGATGAACCAGAGCCAGCCTGGGGAAAAGGGAGACGCACCTGGGTCATCTTTGTCCTCTTGAGACAGAGTTCAGCATGGTGCTGGGAGCTGCTGGAAAGGGAGCTGGTCCTGGGGCTCGGAGGAAAGCATGTTGAGGTGTGCACCAAGTCTGGACCCAGGAACTCCAGTCTCTACTCCCCACGTGTTTTCTGGGAGACTAAGCCAATTCCTCTCCTAAAGTTAGCCTTCATTAGCCCACCAAGTGCTCATTGATTGCACGTTATTGAGGTGTGTGCATTTGAGGTGGGTTTGACTGGAGCTGTGTGTGCAGGCTTCTTGAGGAGGGATGCCCATGGGCAACACCGTGGGGGAGAGGGGAGCATCTCCAGGCTCCGCCTTCCTCCTCCTCCTCCTCCTCCTCCTCGCCCTGGCAGCAGGGCACTGGGACTCTCCCTGGTTGGGTCCCTGACACCCTCTAGTGGCAATATTGACATTTAATATTTCAGGAGCTCTCAAAACTTGGGGGTGCTTTTGAGCACCCTCTACTTGGCAGCCTACCCACTGCTGAGTATGTATTCCAGTGCCCTCTGCAGTAACCTGCAGCTTGGGGACTAATAGGAAATGCTGTATTTCTTGCTCTTTTTTTCAGTGCTGTAAGTATGAGCTCTATGCTGTCAGCTGTGGCCAGGGCAGACCGGCTTGGGGATGGCAGTAGTGCAACAGGTTTGCTCCCAACAAGTGCTTTTCAGCCTCTCATCTCCCTGTCCAGCTGCTCACTGCCAGACATAACAGAATCACACAGAATCACAGAATGGTAGGGGTTGGAAGGGACCTCTGTGGGTGATCTAGTCCAACCCTCCATAACCTTGATGCTGAAGAAAGGGGAGCTCTGCTGATGCCTCCGAGGGGGTCATGGCAGCTGCAGGGGAGGACTTGGGTTGGGGGACAATGAGGAGGCAACGTACGTTGAGAAGAGGGGAGAAACAGGCAGGAGCTGGGTGAGGAAGAGCAGGCAGGAGGACGTGTCCTGCAGCATCCATTTTGGCTGTGACTCAGATCTGGCCCCGCTCCCCTTCACGCAGTGATGACTCTCATCTGAGCTAACCCTTGCTTTCAAGTGGGAGCTCAGTCTGCAGAGTGACCCCGAAAACCCTGGTGTTTCCCATGGTGGGCGGCTGTGGGATGGGTGTGGGCAGCTTAGCAATGTGATGGCTGGCAGTGGAGCCAGGGCTCCCAGGGGAGCGCCGTGCAAAGAGTTACCCATGTCCTGGTCTGCAAGCTGATGTCCTCGAAGCCTGAGCAGGGCAACTGGCTTGGGAGGAACATCTGATAACACACCTCCCTGCGTGTGCCTTTGTGCCCTGGCGAGCACCTTTGCGGTGTTCCCTGCTTGCTTTTCTCTCTGTGATTTCCAGGCCTGGTCTGCTTCAGCCTGATGAGCTAAACCGTGCCCATAGCCCTCGTGTCAGCGCAGGTCAGTGGGCTCTGTGCCTTGGGGTGGTGCGTGAGCCCCAGCGGACCTGTGGCCTGGTACCCGGGGCGCGTCTTGCAGTGAAACTAAACCAGTTGTTTGTGCATCGCTGGCCAAGCGTGAGAGCAGTGGTGCGAAGCACAGAGCCTTCCCCCTGGCCCGGCCCGCTCGGGGTGCTTGTCTGTCCCTCCCGACGCCTGATCCTTCGGAAACTGGGCTTTCATTTAGCGAGCGGGTCTCCAGTCCTGCCGGTTCGGAAGGTGACATCGACGGAGTGTATGTCCATGCCAGGCTGATGTGAGACGGTGGCCTCAAGGCTGCGTGCAGCCCAAAAGCTCTTACCGATTCCTCTAACCAGGGGGATCTGGTTGGCTAAAAAAGCCAACCAAAAGAGCAGGAGGAATGCAGCACAGCGTGTCAGGCATTACCATAGTCAAATTACAGCCTTCAGCAGCACGCCGCTGCCTCCTGATTTTTCTCCAGGATTGCATTTTGCAATGGCTTGCCCACGTGGTGTGAAAGATGCTAACCCTCCAGCCAGGTTATGACCTGGAAATACAAAGCCACGGGTCCAGCTGGTGAAACAGTGGCTGTGGCCGCCCTGAAACTTGGCCGGGGAAGGGGCGGTGCGGA